GAACTGCTTCTCTTCAGACCTTTACTGCGTGGATGACAGCTTGCCTTTTATCCTCAACATCTGCCTGGCCAACACGTATGGGCTCCTGGGCCTGCTGGTGATGATCACCTACGGCCTCCCTTGGATCGCTCTGGTCTTGCTCCCCCTGGCTGCCCTCTACTTCTCCATCCAGCGCTACTACCGGCGCACCTCCCGTGAGCTCAAGCGCCTTTACAGTCTCACCCTCTCGCCCATCTACACTCACTTCTCCGAGACCCTCTCAGGGCTGAGCAGCATCAGAGCCATGCGGGCAACACGCAGGTGAGGGCAGGGAACCAGCGCTCGGCCTGAGCTGCGTCTCTGTTGGTGGATCAGAGCCATGGGACAGGTTGTAGCGTTGGGAGCATCCCTGGCCTGGGGCAGCGTGGGCAGTGCTGGGCTGCGCAGCCCAGCGTGGACCTCTGTTATGTCCCCGCCAGGTTTGAGGTGGAGAATCAGCTGCGCCTGGAGCAAAACCAGCGCTGCCTCTTGGCCAGCAACGCAGCGATGCAGTGGCTGGACATCCGCTTGCAGATGATCGGGGTTGCTGTGGTTACTGCTATTGCAGGAATTGCCATTATCCAGCACCAGAAGCAACTAGGAAATCCAGGTGGGCTGCCAGGTTGTGCTCTGGGCCCACCCCATGGCTGTGGCCCAAGGGCACCTTCCCTCCTGTTGGAGAGCTTCACCATCTCCCTATGCTGGGGGTAGGCAAAGTGTTTGCTCACTGTCTGCCTGCAACTCATCCCCAAAATTGTGCTTCAGCTCCTGCTCCTCCTCTTGCATGTCCCCATCCCAGAATGGGATCCCACACTCCAGAATGGTGACACCTTCCTTGTCTCTTTGTCCTGCCACCAAGATCCCGGATCCTTCCCTCGCGGTAACATGCCTGTTTATGCTTTTGTCATCTCAGGACTTGTGGGCCTGGCACTCTCATATGCCTTGTCTGTCACAAACCTGCTCTCAGGCCTCATTTCCAGCTTCACTATGACAGAAACCATGATGGTGAGCATGGAGCGGACAGAGGAGTACGCAACAGACATCCCCATAGAGCCCCAGGATAAGGTGGTCCAGGTAAAGCCTAAAATACGTTCTCAGATGCTGGCCTGTTTCTCATCCTCTGGCTCTGTGCCCTGCACTTGCCTCCTGGCAGAAGTCACAGGGTTCCAGGGAATAGGTGGAGGGCCATCACCCACAGCACCTCCCTTGATAATTCATCTTTTGCCAGTACATCCCTCAGGGGGATGAATCTCAGGAAGGAGATGTGAAGCCTGGAACAAGGTGAAAGGGGTGCTGTGGCCGAGCTGTCAGAGAAAAGCAAGCCTAGAAAGGGCTGGGGATGGAGGTGGGCTGAGAGTGGGGTCTACTCAAGGGCCAAGAAACCAGCCAGAGGGGTGGACGGGGCTTGGCTGGGGGCAGTGGGTCACAGTCACGGTCTCTCTTGCGCTGGTCCCCATCAGGTTGCTGCTGACTGGCCAAGCCAGGGGCATGTGGAGTTCCAAGAGGTGGTTCTGGCGTACCGAGCAGGCCTGCCCAACGCACTTGATGGAGTGAGCTTCGCTCTGTATCCCGGGGAGAAGGTGGGGATTGTGGGTCGCACAGGATCCGGGAAATCTACCCTTTTCTTGGCGCACTTCCGCATGCTGGAGCTGAAAGCAGGGCGGATTCTCCTGGATGGTGTCGACAGCCGGCTGGTGGGCTTGAAATACCTGAGGTACAGAGGGCTGAGCAGACTGGGGGCACTGGGGGAGACATGGGGAAAAAGAGCTGCCAGATGCTGGATGCTGAGGGACAGAGTGAGGGGTAAATCAGTTTTCCTGCCTGGGCACCCTCTTGTCAGGTTGTGGCTGCTTCTTAGGAACTGCTCTGTTATTTCTGAACAATTATGCTGAGGATCCGAGACTGAATATATGACCTATGCTTTGTCTCTGTGCATCTAAGCCATGCAGCAAGCCAAGACACCTCACCCCAGAGAAACAGGCCTCTGTTTTCCTTTGCTTTCCACTGAACCCACCCCATGCCCTCGGTTCTCCCATGCTTGCAGGTCCAGGCTGGCCATCATCCCCCAGGATCCATTTCTGTTTAGCGGCTCAATTCGAGAGAACCTGGACCCGCAGGGCCAGCACACAGACTCTGAGCTGTACCAGGTGCTAGAGCAGTGCCACCTGCGGGACGTGGTCCTTCACATGGGTGAGTCTGAGCCCGCCACGGACACTCTTGTGTGCAGAAAGGGGAGGTGGCTTCAGCTTCTCCAGCAGCTAGGGAGAAGGGCCAGACAGATGCAGAAGGGAATTGGTAGGTGAGGCCCCACTAGGACCATGGCGAAACAGGTCAGTGAGACCCACAGGATGCTCCCTAAGATTTCACAGCAAGAGGTTGGCAAGCGATTGGTCAGATGGGCAGGGCCTGGCAAGATCTTGCTGATGAGACCAGACTCCAGCAAATGCTGGAGCAGAGCCTGAGGAACCAGCAGCACTCTGGTTCTAGCAGAGCGTTGCATCTCGGTGCCAGGCATTGCTTGCATCTCAGTGACTGGGGTTTTCAGTGTGACTGGAAAAACTTCAGACTAGAGGAGTTGCTTGGGGCCTGGCACACAGCGTAGCGGGTGACTGCCGAGTGTGTATTCCTGCAGGTGGATTGGACAGCGAGCTGGGAGAGAGAGGGAAGAGTCTGTCTGTGGGACAGAGGCAGCTGGTGTGTTTGGCCAGAGCCCTCCTGACACAGGCCAAGGTGAGTGCCCTGTCTTTGCCAGTGTAAGGGAGCGGGTGGCCACTGGTGGTGCTGCTGGCACAGTAGGGCCAAGTACTCCCGACTTTGGGAGCTTTGGGGATGAGTGACCAGTGTTACCTCGTCAGGTTGTCCCTAAGCTGGGACTGGGATCTTCCCTATCATGTTTGGAAGCTTCTTCTCCTTCTGTCCCTTGCAGGTGTTGTGCATTGATGAGGCCACAGCCAGCGTGGATCAGAAGACAGACCAGGTGTTGCAGCAGACCATCCGCCAGCGCTTCGCTGACAGAACGGTTTTGACAATTGCTCACAGGTACGGAGGGCTGAGCGTGCCGTGCTGGACCGTCCCCAGCGCAGCACTGCCGCCTCGCTGCGCTGCCCCTGCTGTGCCTGCACCTCGAGCTGAGCAGGGGGTCTCTGGGATGAGGCTTTCTTTTCAGGTGCAAGAGGGTGGAACTTGTCTGGTTTACATCTCTGGGGTTTACCTGCACCTCCGGGTGCTGGAATGACTGTATGTGAAAATGTTGTACCCAGAAGCTGGGGGCAGCAAGGAGCTAAGTCAATATACTCCATCCTGTGGTAGATGGCTCGCAGGGCACTGCCTTCTGGGGCTAGTAGGTGCATCAGCTCTCATGGCTCTGCCGAAAGGGCAAGGAGCAGTGCAGAAATATCCTCCAGAAGGGAGCAGAGGATGCCCGAGTGGAGCAGGGTCTCTGCCTCAGTAGAGGGCACTGCAGGACAGCTCGAGAAGAGCTTCAGCCAGCTCCGAGCGGATGAATTAATAATGCTGTTTTCCAGCTCCCTGCGCTTCGTTTCTGGCTGGCACCCAGCGCTAGCAGGCTAGACATTGCCCAGACAGGACAGGTCGGCACTGCTGCCCCAGAGCTGATGGCTTAAATTTAGGAATAGGGGCACTAGATGGTTATAGACAGATGGTTATAGACAGGGAGGTTACAGACAGACATGGAGACTGTGGCTACTGGGAAGGGCTGCATTAGGCACTCTCCTGCCCCGAGTGCTCTCACTGTTGGCTGTTGAGTGAGAGTTCGGAGGGGTATGAGAGTTTGGAGGGGTAATGCAGTGGTATGGAGGGTGCTTCTGAGGGAGTTAGTTGCTTCCCAGAACAAAGGGCACCACAAAAAAAAAAATTCAAACAAGCAGATAGTGGGGGCTGGTGTCCTGCTGTGCAGAGGTGGGAGTGACAGATGATGAGCAGGGTGGACTGGGCCTTGCAAGTAAAATGAGTGGCTTTTCCTTGGTAGAATAGATAGCAGGTAACTAGGAGAGATGAGAAGGGACAGGAACGTGGCTCATGCACTAGAGAGATTAGAGTACAAAAATGAGTGTAAAGGAAGGTAAGTGCTCTGTGGGAAGGGCTGTGGTAGGGAGGATGGGTCTTTGATGGAGGAGCTATTAGGAGAACCAGAAAAGGAAGGAATAGCAGGCAGCCAGGCAGCATGGTCCCAGACCCAAGAGAGACCAGGAAGGGAGGAAAGGTGGTGACAGGGTTGGTTTGTGCCTGAGCATCTCCCAGGCCGTTGGGCTTCACATGAGCCTGGATGCAGGCCTGCAAGTGACCCAGTACTGGTGCTGTGCCCCTCCAGGTCACTGTCCGTGCCGCAGGCTGGCACTGTTGAGGGGACAGAGTAACCAGAGAGCTGAGCCCCGGGGCTGTCACTTGCTCAAAGCCTGTGCCATGCGCTCCCCCTGATCTGCAGGTTCTTAGGGCTGTTTTTGCTCCCTGAACAGCACGCCACTGCCCAAAGATTTTACTGCTGCCGTGGAAGAGGACAGGGAGGAAGGGGAGGGAAGGTGGAGGGGGTGGCAGAAGCGGGTGCCTCTGTGCATGCTGCGGGTGCTGCAGTTGTGCCTGGCGTTCTGCAGACCCGCTGGCGGGAGCAGCGTGAGGGAAGTGGCCAGCAAAGAGGCTGGGCACATCACCGCGCGCCGGGCGTCTCGCTCCGCAGGCTCAACACCGTTCTGGACTCGGACCGCGTGCTGGTGATGCAGGCCGGGAGGGTGGCAGAGCTGGACTCCCCGGCCCGCCTGCGTGGGAAGGAGGGATCCTTGTTCCAGCAACTCCTGCGCAGCGGACAGCAGTGAGGCCCGGAGCTCAGCCTGACCCTGGCCCTGCTGCTGGCTTTCTTCTTGCCACAACCCCCTCTTTGCAGGCCAGGAGCTGCTGAGATGAGAAGGGTTTGTTCCCATTAGTAGGGAAAATAGGGACTGGTGTTTAGGGACATGCTAGCTTGGCTGGTGGGGTGCTGCTCCACACCAAGGCTCCCTTTTGAGATTACTGAGGGTTTATCTTCTGCTCGGTAGGGAAGCAACAACTCCTAGTTTGAGACCTTGTCTCACAGGTGCAGTTTAAAATAAAGTGGCAATGCCCTAGCAATGTGCTATTCAGCTGTCGTCTTTGGCTCCCAGACCTCAGCTTCCTCGTGAGTTCCAGCAGTGGTGCCCTCCCTGCGCAGGGATACCCCTTCCTGCATCCTGGTGCTTTCAGGGTGCACCAAGCACTCCTGGAAGGCTGCACCAAGGGACCCTGCTCCTCTCCCTCCACCTCCCCGTGGACGCCTTCCTCTACTACAGGTCATTACATTACAGGTATCTAGGCTGATTTATGACAAGACCTCTCTTTTCAAGGATTCTTATTCCTCCTCCTCATCTTCCCTTCCTCCCAGCTTGTCAGTTTTAGGATCAGCTTGCTGTTCCTATGAGAGCCCACGGCTTCACTCTGAGCCTTTTTCTTTTCTCCCCGAGACGCCAAAGCTGTTCCAGGCAGGAACGCACCCTTGCTCTGCTCTCCTAGCACATGTCCCTTTTCTGCCCTCAGCCTGCAGGAGCCACCTCTCCTCCCTGAAGCCATGTCCTTCTTTGCTTAGTGACTAATAACTTGCTTCTCCATCCAAAGGGCCTTACCCTCCTTTCTCAGAGGCTCTAAAGGCCTCTGGCACTCTCCCAATAGCACTGCTCCAGGGCAGGGAAACACAGGGCTTCCAAATAGCTAAAGGTTTGTGGTGGGCCAGAACATGGGGCGGAACAACCACCCTGCCAGGACCTGCGTGGAAACACTCAAAACTCAACAAGCGGTTGAGGCACCTGATCTAATTGGATATGCTGAGAATGCCAGGTTGAACTAGATGACTTCCAGAGGTCCCTTCCAGCCTAAATTAATTTATAATTTTATGATGCACTTGCTCTGGACTTGTATTTGTTTTATTTGATAAAGGTACATCATCCATCCACATATTAAAAAAATAATCTTTCTGATGAAGCCCCAAGTCTTCCTCCTGGCTGGGTGCTAATTCCTCTGCTCAGTCTCTTTGCACACCATCTTGGACCCTGCACAGCAACCCTACAGGCCAGTAGCTGTTTTTGTGTTGGTTGGTTGGTTGGGGTTTTTTTGTTTGTTTTGAGATCTCCTGCTTAGCCCTCTGTGTCCATGAGAAGGCCCTGAAAATCCTGGGCCTGGCAGGACTCTGCTGCACACTGGACCAGAACAAGCAGCAGCTGACCCAGTGTAAAGGGTGACCTGGTCATCTACTGCTGTGGTAATAGCAGAGAAGTTGGTGCCACATCTGCTTCCCAGGCTCTGTAGCCCATCCTTGCATCCACTGCAGTGAGCTTAGCCTTTGCTTGTATGGAGAAATGCTACGCTGGCTGAATTGAAGTTGATCCTGGCAGCACACCTTGAGATGCCTGGGAAGGGAAATGAGGTCCCGTGTTGCTCCTGACCCAACCCCCAGCACATCTCCAGCCTTGTCCATCTCCAGTTTCACCTGCGAGGACATGTGAGGAGGACCAGCTCAAGCCCTGAGGACCCCAGGGAGAAGGGGCCCCACAGTCCCCCATCAGCAAACGGTGAAGTGGAAGCACGTGCTGGAGTGGAGAGGGAGCTTTTGTCATTTGGAGATGGACCAGACAGGACAGCTCAGTAGGTAGGGGAGAAGACATGTAGATCATCAGGAGGAAGGTACAGAATGTGTTTTTAAGCCCAAATCCAACAGCAAGAGGAGAGGGCATCACACAGGCAGAAAAAGGGCATGAGAGGGTCTCAAGTAGCCACCAGAGCTGCTTCCAATGGGCTCATGGAACTGCAAAGCCACGGAGCGAGGGCGTTCGCTCCCTGCCTGGGCGCGTGGCATCCAAAACGCACAAGCTGCAGCCTCCAGGAGCAGCTGGGAGATGCCCTGCCGAGGAGGCCCATGCAGGCATAAAGAGCTCAAAGGCCCCAGAAGAAACATCCCCAAGCAACAGGGCAAAGCTGCTTCCAGCATCACGGAGACAAATTCAGAGGGCCTGGCAGACTTTGGGTTGGTGAAGAGGCCACCCCTTCTCCGTCGCTCCCAGCCCCGCTTCTGAGCACGCCTGGGGTAGCACCAGCCGCCACGGTCCTGCCCTCCCCCTCCGCGGGGCGTTGGCCGTGCCAGCGCGGGGCAGGCAGCTCAGCCCCAGCAGGGCCAGGACACCACACCCAGCGCTGCGGGGCCTCGTCCATGCGTTCGCTGGCCTGGAGCCCTTCCTCGCTGCCCCGTTTGCAGCAGAGCAGCTCCCCGGGGTGCAGTTCGAGGGGGCTGCCGGCACGATGGCCGGCCAGGGCCTGGCTCTGAGAGTCCTCACAGCTCTGTCGTTTTTCTGGGCTCGATCAGCACTGTGTTTAACATGCCCACCTGGCACTCCTGGTCTTGGAGCTTCCTCGCAGCCTGCGAAGGGCTTTGGCACCAGTTTGACCTCTGACGCCCCCTATGCCAGTTCCTCAAAATTAAGAGGACGGTGATGAGGACCAGCACTGCCGTGAGTATCCCAAACACCAGCACCGTCACCAGCTGGGCCTCGCTCAGCCCGGAGTCCCGCTGGGTCACCACCTCTTTCACAGAGATTTTCAACAGCCCTCCCCCTGGCACTTTCTCGCTGTGGTTGGCCACACGTCGCCCCGTGACCACAGTCCTGACAGGCTCCAGCTGAGTTAC